TTCACACACAGATACTACGGGTATCCATAGTTCGCTTTGTTGTCAGTTGGCTTGGTTTGCTGGTTTTCTGTTTGTTAGCCGCCTTTGTTTTATCTCCTCCCCCCGCAACCTGCCTGCCAGCCTGCCTGCCATTCCACTTTAGTGAAATAAAATGGAAAATCATTAAATACTGATCATTTCCATATACGTATATATAGTCGTATATATGGCTTTGGTAGATAGTCTGAGTATATATCCCATTTTAGGTAGATGGATTTTTAAGTTAAAGAACATTTTATATATATTCATTCCAGGAAAGATATATATTATTTATAGTTCTCTAAACAAATTAATTAAACGTTTCATATTCTACTTTCTGCATGGAATTCTTTCAATAACTAACAAAAATCCATATAGCAGAATTTCCATCACTGCCAAACAAATCGGAGTTTCCACTTTGGTGGGGTCTTCCCCAAAAAAGTTTCCCAGGCCGCTTTCCTCAAAGCACACTCACGCACACACACATAGATAGAGCACACACATGGTTGGCGGCTTTTTCGCTTTGACATAATCAAAACCAAACCGAACCGAACCCAAACCCAAGCCACACCAAACCAAGCGAACAAATGACGCGACGATCCCCAAAAATACAAAAAAGAAAAAATACTCGAAAGCGGCAAAGAGCGGCGGTGGCGGCGTCCACTCAAAGCTAATGACCGACAAAGCGTTTTGTATTATTTTCAATTTCATTTTCACTATACACAAACTATTCCCCTGGCCCCCAAAAAACCCCTCCTCTGTGCCCATTCTCAACCCTTCCCCCTTGGTGACAACACTTTTCGCTTCGGCCTCGCCACGCTTCGCCTTGCCATGCATTAAATATTATTAAGATAAGGCGGGGGGTTCGCTTATCAATCAGACGTCAGAGGAACCGACCCTCATATATATAATTTGCAAAGAAGAAGAGCCAACACGGTTCTTCCATCAGAGTTATTGGAACAATCGGGCAGCCAAGTTTCCATTAATATTTGCTTAGAGCTTGTTTCCTTTTCCCCTTTCTACTTTTTGGGGAAAGAGTGTCGTGTTTGGAAGACAGTTTTCATAAATTATCATAATAGTTTGGTTAGGTGTTTCCTTACTCTACTGTTTAGTACAAAGTTTCTCCTAAATTACTTACTTTTATCTTTCTATATCTCTATTATACCAATAACATTGAAAATATGTTCGTAATTCAACTTTTAGTTTCCTCCAAGAGCAGCCTCTCTGCATTTTTTAACGACTTAGTTAAAGTTATGATCCTCTTATTTAAGCCTTAACTTTGCATTTAGGAAGTTATTTTAGAAGTTATGGCCAGGTTATGGCCACGGAGTGAACGGCAAGGGTCGTGGTATTTGCTCATTCAGACCAAGTGCGGCATAATTCCAAGAAGTGGCCCAAGAGCCAATTGCTAAATCAACACAAACAAAAGCCGATGACCAAAACAAAAACCTCAAAAGTCATTACATATATCTTGAGTGGCCAAATCCCCCACCACCACCTCCACCACCACCCCGGGGAGGCCTGCAGAAATGCAGAAGCTACGAGCTAACAGCTTTTTATCTTTTGGCACAAGGCGGCGCAGCATTGTTTTGGTTTTGGTTTTGGCTTGGTTTGGCAGCCACCTTTTCGCAAAAACCAGTCCATCGAGCTGGACCAAAAACCAAAGCGAAAAACCCATCCCATCCGATCCAATCCCAAACCGAACCGATCCAGCCATATAGGGTTGCTGGCATGTCGAAAGGCAGAGCGGCCACTTCCTGGCTAATATTACGAAAATTGCCTATACCAGGCTATTGCTCCCTGGCCCCTTCTGCTCCTCTGCAAGTTCTGCGGATCAGCCAAAAAGTGCCAAGTCAAAGTTGGTAGTTGCAGCTTGAGCTGGTCCTCCCCTACCCCTTTCCGGATCTTGAGGCCCAATGCGGTTCGAGCCACGTTGCTTTCGGCCTGTCATGAAGGCAATGCCGACGCGATTCGCCTGTTGCCTTCTACCGTAATTCACAACAACCACAACCATAATAATAACAGCAACGGCACGGCATCGAAGAAAAGCCAAGGCAAAAGTTGTGAAACCCGCACAGGGCACAGTGGGTAACTCATGAATTACTGACTGCTGAATAAGTAAGGTGACTAAGTGAGTTGGTTATAAATCAATACAAAAAATTAAAATTAGATATTCCTTTAAGTGTCTTTTATTTGATAATGTGTATGAAGCGTTTTTCTGGGAACTTCTTATTTACTAGCACAGTTTTGAACAGGGAAACGATATTAAGTTAAGGCATTTAACTAAAGAAGAAACTATTAGTTAGTTCTATCTATGTATATAAATGGTTTTCTTTAAGTACAGATAATGGTATTGGGAATAAACACTTTAATAAAGAATGAGTTTGTATTTCCGAATACAGAATCTTTACCACTGGGAATTACCATATCCCTTAATAACAACAATGTAAGACTGCAACAAAGTATGCCCCATCTACACTTTAGGTATAGTTTAAATGCATCTTTACAGCGTGTCTACTAAATCGTATATAATCTGCTTAAAATCTTCTGGAACTCCATAACTATTCAGTTTCAGTATCATATGTTGTCCCTAGCCGTAAGTAAGTACCACCGATAATCCCCATTCAAACACACATTTTCGAACCACTGTGGACGACGGCCTTTGGTGCCGCGCCTCAAAGCAAAAAGCGCATCTTTTGAACAGAGCGCAAAGCGCAGCTTGGCAGTCGCAGCATCTCGAGCGGTGTGTATCTCAAAGATACAAACAGAGTACGCTCGCTGGATCGCCGTTCCTCAGGCCGTCCGTCTTTCGGTCTTTCCGTCTTTCAGTCCGTCTGTCGATCGTCGTTTGGTCTCTAAAACCGCTTTTGTGTAGCCGCTGCCGAGATGTTTGGCATAGTTGGCCTGGCCGCGGAACTGGTTGGATGTGGATGTATCTTCGGAGTCGGAGTCGGAGTTGGAGTTGGGGATGGGAATGGGGAGCTTGCAACGACTCTGCCGCCGCCTGCCGCTCAGTTATTATTATTTTTGCTTGCGGCGGCGGCTCGACGACTTGCTGCCGCTGATGCCCGATGTTATTGTTGTTGTTTTATCAACGTGAGGGTTTTAAAAGGTTTTTGTGTATGAGTCGGCATCGGTCTCTTGGCCTCGCAGCAGCTGCTGCTTACTGCACAGGGAGAAAATATGACCTTAAATTGTAACTTTAATAGGGATAACACTCTGACATTTCTGGTATCTCGTGAAAATCAACTTACTAATCATTATTATGAGCTATTCCTTTTGGATTTATACCATATAGAAACCTTTGAATATGTTACCTTACATAAGGAATACATTTGTTTTCAAGATCAAAAGTACCACTTCAAGTTTAAGATAAATCCGCGTACTTTCTAAGTATTAATCATGGGATTATCGGACTAATCCAATTTTTCTGAGTGCACTCCATCAGCAACGGGCCAGCAACTCCACCTCCGTTGCGGCATCTACTTGCCTTCGGTTTTACCTGCAACAGGTAAGAAATGTTCGTACGTTGTTTTTAAACGGCGTCGGCATTTCAATTCGCTTTATTTTCATTTTTTGTGCCACTCTCTTCCCGTTTTTTGTTGTTGTGTAGTATTTTCGAGGCTGCTTTCTTTGAAGTTGCATACTTCGGTGTGCCTTTGGAGGTTTCCTTTGAATTCCCCCTGCATCTGCCAGCAATTAGTGTACGGCCCTTGTCGTCCTGCAAAGGGTTCAAAGTGTTGGCCTGGCATTTAATTGGCGCAGACCAATTGCCAGCTGAAGGAGAAGAAATCTCTCTCTCACTCACTCTTTCTCCCTCTCTGGGACTTCAAAACAACAAACAAACAAAAAAATAAAAATATAGAGGTGGTAGGAGGGGGACCCAGAATATTTCCAATGAATTTGTGGACAGAAGGAAAAAAAGCGAAGGAACATTGATTGATTGATGTTCCTTCAGCGATTCGGACATCAACGTCGCTCGTTTGGCAGAAAGGTCGTCCGATATTCCCTTTTCGAAGTCCAATTCCAATTCCGATTCCACTTCCAACCCGAAACCGGACCTCTTGTTTATTTACGCTCATGATATGCTACCCATGGCTAAGGAGGCGATCTCTGAGCAGGAGCCATTCTATTGATCATCGCGATCCCTTCTTCGATTCTTCAATCTCTTTCCAAAAAAAAAAAAGAAATTCTATTTATTTTCCATGGGTCGCTTTTCCTTTTGATCTGCTGCTGCTCGGCCGTTCGGCAGTTGTGTTTTTCCTCTTCAGCACCATGCCCGATTTTCCGTTCTATTTTCGTGTGTCGTGTTTCCCTGCCACTTCCATTCCCCTCAACCATTCCCTAACCATTTCCAAAGACCACAAGCAAATGGCTGTGTATCTTCTAGATAAAAATGCAGCCGGGGGATTGCCTACATTTTATTTTCAACTTTTAGTTGTTCGCCGTAATTATTGGAAAAGGATGTGGGAGAAGCCCTTGACTGAATGAATTCTGAATAGTAGAATAGTATACACGTGTGTGTGTGTGAGTGAGTGTACAATTGCTTGGGCGAAGGTAATATTTTAGATCTTCGCCCCAGATTGTTGCATGTTAATGGGAATGGCCTTCGCTGAGGGGCAGCAGGCAAATGAATAAAGAAAACATTCTGCATGGATTAATGGCTTTGGTTTTGGGTAAATACTTTTAGGGGATTATTTTAATTGCTAATGCAATTATAGGGATACCCCATAGATATCCAGATGTTAAAATAACCCCCTAATTAATAATCCACATTCAAGAGATTCCTTCAAAAGAACCCCTGACGCCTTTAGTCTTTCAATTTAATTTACTTGGCTATTGCCAACAAATTGTTTCCTTGAATGCTATCGCCCCTCACCTTGGCACTCCCCGAGAGCATTAACATCCATCTCTTGGCCATATCTGTTGGCAACTATCTGGAAATTCACTAAACAAGTTGAGGACGCTTGGCTTTCGCTTACCTGAGAATTGTTTGTAGCCGCCGAGAATTTTATGCTTCCACCATTTGACAATGTTGCCCGCCATCTCTGCTCGAATATATATATATTTCTATATATAAGTTGGTTGCTTGAGGATGCAGTTACTTGGCGGTGTCTTGGATTTTTCGGTGTTTTTATTTTCCGGGTGGTGTTGGTAGAGGTGGTGGTTGGGTTGGAAATTTACGAGTCCTGGGAGAAGAAGGAGGAGGAGACCTGCTGCAGCGGCAGCGGCAGCCCAAAATGTTTTACGGCCTTTGTGTGTGCGTTTTGTGCGCTCCCTGGCTGGCTATCCTTTTGTGTGTGTAAGGATCTAAGGACTGAGACTAATATACTCCAGGTAGAAGAAGGTAGAACCTCCACATCCACATCCACATCTAGTTCCAATACCAATTCCACACCGTGTTTATGCTCTGACGCTGGGCGACCTTAATTTGTATCTGGTATTATTTTCGACTGTGCGGGTGGCAAAGTTACCCGTCGTAGAGTCGTAAAACTTTTTACAGCTCTGATGTGCTGCATTTTAGTTTAATTTGCGCATATTGCGCTGCTTTATTTGATCTACGTGTGTGTATCTTGCAGATACTCGCAGTTGTACCTTTTCTGTGCCCGCTGCGCGCGTAATTTTAATTGTAAAACATTTTCGCCGACTCGATTTGTTTTTCGCCAGGCGTTTTTGTTGTTGATATTTTGCTTTTATTTTGCGACGACGTAAATAACTTGGCGTATAAACAACAAAAAACAACAACAACAAATGCAAAAACACGATTTATTTCCAAACGATTGCGACGACGATGGCGACGGCGGCGGCGACGTTGATTTTCGGGGGGTGGTGTACCGGTTGTTTTTATTATTGTTGCGGGGGCGGTTTTTCGCTTTTGGTTTTTCTTTTACTTTTCGTTTTTTACACTTGACTTTTTTCACCGGCTAGTAAATTAAAAACTTCACTGTGCGTATCTCGCAGATACATTTATTCATTAGATCAATTTCCCATTTCAATGATAACTTCACTGGGCCACAAAAAATCATTCAATTTGGCCAGCAGTTGTTTTGGAGGGCCAAACTACGCGTATCTTCCAGATACTTTCCGCCGTATCTCGGAGTCTCAGTTCACACGTCTATTCGAATTAACGGACGAAAACAATCTGAACACCCTGAGACATTCGAGAATAGCCGACACAGTGGTTGGGTGTTTTCGACCCGCGAGTGCCTCTCTTTCGGACTCTCTTTCGCAGTGCTCTGTCGTTTCTCTTTCGATTCGAAATTCGAAAATTATTATATGTGGATAACTGGATTTTTTCTCTCAGTGCTTTGCTTTGCCTATGGTTGCAAAGAGACAGCTGTGAACAGACAACAAAAACAACACAGTGTGTTCGATGTGGTTTTGTTTATTTAAGAGCATTTTCGAAGTGCGTTTCGCGCTCTTTGGGGCTGTGGCAGTGGAAGTCGAAGATGTAAACTAAGGGCATGATGGAACTTTCGAATGGTTTGTATCCTTGGTAATTAAACTATTCTTATTTTCTGTATAAAAGTTAAATAGGGTTTTTATTTTTTTTCAGTACTTAATACTATTATAATTTTTTGTTTAAAACCTATTAACACAAAAAATTCTGTTTTAATAATAATTTAAATTTTAACACAAAATATAATACGCAAATACGTGTGGCTTACTTAAAATATTCATTAATTTTTATAACTATTAAATTTTTACAACCTATTAATATTATTATTATTAAATAAAATAAATCATTATTATATTAAATAAGAGAGAATAGTAAGAAAACAAAATATGTGTCCCATTTCTACAATGTTTTTTGTCAAGTACGAATTAATGACTACAGAAAATTGTAATAAAAAAGATTACAACCTACAGAATTTATATGCTATGAAAATGCCAATTATTGGTATGCAATTCGAACAAGAACATAAAACATTAAAAATGCAATTTTCCCATCTCATGCAGAATGTTCTTAGATATGGCATACAAAAATAAAACACTTAACCGTGCAACATCTTCGATTGCAACATCTCGATTGCCACGCCTTGAACTCAGAGCTTTCTTTTTGCCTTACACCTTTCCAGTCCAGTTTTTTATTTCGAGCGATTGCTTCTCCGTCCACCAGCAATTTTTGATTATACACATGTTTGGATAATACCTGGTTTTAATTTGGCTCTATGCATAGCGGCAGCAGAAAAAAATTTTGATTGTTTTTAAATTTGATCCCGACTGCTGCCCCTTTCCAGTTTTTTACTTCGCAGAAGAAGCCGCCTGCTGAGCTCGAACATCGGGGCAATTACCTACCAGCAACCAAAAAAAGTAACCCCAAACCCAAACTCAAAACCCGCCGATAATAACAGAGCAAGGAGAATCCTGAATTACGCTCCAGAGAGCAAGCTGAAAAAAAGGAAGGTAAAACACAAAGCTCTTTCTTTCCTCGGCGATCGAAGGCAAGTGGAAAGAACCCGCGGAGATCGTACTGTCCGTTAACCCACTATGGTAAAAGGAGGCTTCTTTGAAATCGTAAGGGAAACTGGTTTAAGAATCATTATTTAAAGTAAAAACGTTGGATTAATAGAAAAAATTATTTTTTTAACATTATTTTATCTGACAAAGCATTACTACTCAAATACCATGAAATATGAATATAATATGAAATAAATTCCATTAAAAATTACCATTTTAAGATTTATTTTTATGTGAAAAATGAAGTAAGCTGTTATTAAAATATTATAATAGGTTTTTTTTAATATCAATATATATATTTAATTATTATAAATTGAAAAAATGAAATCAGATAAAAATATATATGTAAACATAATTTTTGGTCCTATTTCGGGAACCATATTGAGTTTAAATATTAAGTCCGAGATTAATTATTACCATTAGAATATCATTAAGAAGATCATAGAACACACAATTTATGCATTTAGAAAGAACATTCACTTTATTTCTTGAATTAATGGCGAACGACAGATGATCATCTAGTTTTCACTGGATCTTTTAAGACAAAAGTTCGTAAAGGGTTAAGTCTGCCCTCGGGGGTCCGCAGGCTTTCGCACCGTAAAACGTTTTCGGCTTTCGGTATAATGGCGCTGTAATTGAAGAAGAACACGCGATCGAAAGGAGGGGAGGCGTTTGAAAAGGGGTCTACAAAGGCGGCAGAGGGTACCTCCTTCTAACAGAAGGGTTTCCAGTCTTGCTCTCTTCGTTTTTGTTTTTCTTTCTTTCATCTTTTTGTGTCGGATCTTCTTTTGTGCTGCCTTCGTCATACATTGATCCATCGTCTTAATTTCAGGAGGCTGTGTCTCCTGCGCTCCTTCAGTTTGGATGCGGGCTCTTGATTGATGTCGGGGATCTCCGTCCGCCCTGTCCACCGATATTGATTTATGTTTTCTCCGGTTTCGCAGCCCAACCCCTGCTCTTTGTCCTGCTGAATTCTGAATTTCGCTGCACAGAATTTCGCAGCTTTGCGTTTGACAAAAGTCGATGGATACGGCGATATAGGCGGACCTGGCTGCAAATGTAATTACCCAAAAACGAGTGGAACATGTCTGGCGGCTCTGAATTTTGGTGGGTGGCGGCGGTCATATGTGACCCGGCTATATAAAAGGGTTTTTGACATTTGCCCCGACGATGACAGAGTGACAGCCATGGCAACTGTCGCTGTAATTGACAAGGAAGCAGTATTGGATTCGCTCTGTGTCATTTTCCCTCGCTTTTCCACCAGCTTTCCCCCTTTGCGCTTTCCGCTTTCCACAGAAATGTCCCTATCTTCACACATATTGGCAATGCTGATGAGTTTTTGAAGGGTTAGACGAGTTTAATCGAGCTTTATGTGGCGTGTGTGTTTGCATTAGGGAGTTGATTAGGTTACAGGGGGTCATTCTAGCTACAGGAGATAAACATAATTGGCTTGTCTAGAATGGTATTTAGGTTCCAGGGCAATCTACGAGGCTCTATTTATTTAATTAAAAGGTATTTTAAGTGTTTTGCTAGGGAATATTCGATCAATATCCAATTAAAGTGTTAATGGGGAAACATTTCCTATTAATATTTGTTCTTTAAGTTTTCTTTTTAAAGTTTTACTGTGATTTTAGCATTAAACGGTTCTTGAAACACCCATAAACTATTATTTATTTAACTTCTAAACACAATATTCATTAATCGTAAATTCTGTTCCCTTAGTTCCAAAAACAGACCAAAAATCACAATATAATTTAAGAATAATACGCAGCACTTGTATATTTTTTTCTTCAGATACCATTAAACGCTCAACAAATACAAGGCGTTGATACTGCTCTCAATTTCCCAAATATTTTCGGTAAATTATGGGGCGAACATAAATTAGATAAGCAGATATATATTTTCCAACTTGCGTCAGCGCTGGATCTCATTAAAGTATATATATTTCTTGTAGTGATCAGCTAGGCGAAGAGTTTCAAAAAACATTTTTCTTTTGGAAGTCGTAAAAGTATCGAAAATCAAATAAATATCATATGCGTATTGGTAGGGTCGTGTACATCGTGAAACTATTAAATAAATTAACTTTGTTGTAAGTGCTGGTCATAAATATTTATATTTTATAGTATGTTTGCCGTAAAATTCAAATGAAGTTGTCCCCCGATCATGATGGTCGTCGGTGGTGTGTGGGACGAGTTTATAAACAAATTTCGAAAGCAATTATGAATTGTAGTTTTTGGCATTGGTCGTCGACTGACTGACAGGAAATTATATTGTAAGGCCATTAAACTGGCAGGCCCAGAGAACCAAATGAGCCCCCAATGAGATCTTCAGTCCCTTGGTAACATGTGCAGCAGGCCTTTTGAAGTTCCCCACCTCTCCTCTCGCTGCTCAAATGACTTTTACCCAGAAGTCGTTAAAAAAACGACGAAAATTTCCAATTAATTTTGATAAACGCGGGCCCACAACGAAAAAACTAAGAGATGCATATTGGTGTTAGGCTGGAGGAAAATTTGTTTGCTGCCCCGAAGCGGAAATTGTAACTGTGCATTGATTGAAATTGGGGAAGGGGAAAGGAAAGAGGGAAAAGGGATAGGCAGTGCAACCAATTGTTGCTTATTAGGCCGAAATCATTAAAAATCTATCCAAACAACAACAGCGACGAGGCAACAAATTTTTGTCTACGAAATAAAGCCATTTCAATCAGCCGTTTTATGAGTGTTTTTTGGGCGCTTTTCGCCCGCCCTTTCCAACTGGATTTTTATGATTTTACATTTACAAGAGTCTGACGTCCGTCCATCGATGTCCATCAAACGATTAGGCCCGGCATCTATATATATACATATATATCTACGGTTTCTGTGGGACTTAATGACCGGATTAATGATGCCAAAAACATGATGGGAAGCGATAGATTAAATGGGAGCTATAAAACCGATTTAGGAGTGGGCAAATGGTGGCCAGTGGGTGAGGTTTTGTGAGTTTTAAGGAATTCTTCTGAAGAAAGAAGCTACTTTGAAGCATCTTTTAATATCTTGAATATCAAAAGAACATATTTTCTTTAATTGCATTTTTCAGTAACGAGACTAAAAATGTTTAAACGTAATTTAAAGTACATTTCAAAACATTAACACTAATATTAATACTCCAGTCAAGTCTGTCAGATAAAGAAAATTATCATCATACAGTTCCTTTTAAGAGAGTTTATATTTGGCAAGCAACAGAAAAACATTTCTTACAAAATACACATTCTTAAGTAACCTAGTTTATAATATTTCCTTGTAACATTTAATAAATGGTAAGATTTTAAAGATTTTAAATAACAATTTTTGCCAAACCGCAAAATGTGAAATAAATACCACCTGCAAAATCTCTTGATTAGTTCCACACCCCCTCAAACTTAAATTAACCTTTTAAAAATCATTTAACAAAATAAATAATCGAATTGCAACATTCCCAAATCCAAAATTGCCGCTGAGCTGAAGTGGAAAACATGGTCGAGCCGCAGGCAGAGAAATAATAATTTATGCATTTTCATTTATTTTTCCACACGCTTTTGACCAAAATAAAGTTTTCCATTTATTCTGGTCGCCACTCGTGGTAAATTACAGGCAGCTGGCGTGGAGCTAAGACAAAAATAAAAATCATTTTTTAAAGTGCTGAGTAGAAAAAAGCATCTATGTCTGTAGTACCCCCAAACTCCGAGATCGTATCTTTCATTATCTACGCTGCCGTATCTGATAATGATCAACTGCTGGCCGACGCCTCAGTTGCCGCCTTTTTTCTTTAAATATATATATATATGTATATGTTTTTCCTCTTTTTGTTGCCTTTTAATTAAACGCTCAAGCCGCAAGCGGAGCTCAAGTCGCTGCCGGAGTCGTGCATCGGCGGCTGCCCCTTTGAGGGAACCCTCCGATCTCACAGAGGTTGCCGCCTCATTCAGCCATTCATGCCGTCATTGCTTCATTATCCATGCGCACATCACTCAGCGAACACTCGGCATGTACTTGCTATATATGTATATATATATGTATATTCCCATATGAGAGCCCTGTTCCATTTCCAGACAGAGACCAATCCATGTCATATCCATATTCATCACCCGATCCATTCGTCTGTCTCTGCCCGAACTAAAACCGAATTACAGCCACATTTCATGAGCTCTTAAAAATATTTCCTGGTTGCACTTCTCTCCACAATTTATTATTTTCAAACACTGAATGTTAAATTGAAAAATTGGGAGCAACGCTAATTTTTAATGGAAATCGATTTGTAAAGCAACTGAAGTGGATAAATTTTTAAGAATTTTCTATGAAGTTCATAGTATGAACCTTTTTCAAGATAAATATTAAAGTATACCTTTTTTATGTCATCTTAGACATTACAGAAAATATATGTAAATTGAATTAAAAATAAAATAGTATTGATAGATAAGTTGACTTGACAATGAAGCTTGGGGTAGTATAGCTTAAGTACCTTTTACTTACAGATTTTGTATATCTTATTTTACATTTATCTACTGTCTTTTAAAAAAGATTGGAGTATTTTTGCCTTTTTAAGGAGATTAGGAATAAGGTTTAAGTTTGTAGGTGATGGGTTTGATGCAGGTGAAGGACATTTGAATTGGGAATCTGCAGTCAAAGGTTTTCGAAGACGTGGCATTTATTAGAGGTTTGATATTAGACATTTCTGTGTTGTTCTAGTGTGCACATGGGTCGGAGTTGCTATAAAAATTTGTTTTCATGAGTAAGCTGCTGTTTTAATCTCTTCTAGAAAGATTACAGAGTTATATGTTTTTTGCAAAATCGATCAGAGTATACAAAAACAAAAATATGAATTCTCGTACCAGTTAGAACTCTCTGAATTAGGTTAGAGGTTTCATTACTGGCTTATTAAAATTTTGTCTGGTGAAAAGGGGAGTTTTTGGCAGTTTCGCTAATAGATCTCGGATTTCTGAAATTGTGTTCGATGTATTGCCGATACTAGCTAGTCACTGAATGACTAAAAAAGAGTATGAAAATGTTGCCTCTGAAATGAAATCTGATTTCGATGGCGTTAAGTACAGACACGGCTTCTACAGTGAAAACTAAAGAATAATCTGGAAGAATAGCCATTTTCGGAGTTTCTGTTTAAGTGTTTATTGCGGATCCAATATATTTATTATTTCTGAAGCATCTAAGATTTACACTTTAGATTTTCCCAGTGTACTCCCGTGGACACTTAACTTTCTCAGCTAATCCATCCAACTGCTCAACTCGTCCTACTGCGTATATTGAATCTTTGTCCTTGATGACAAACACAAATGCACGATTTACTTCAAATTTGTCTGCTTTCTTAGTATTAATATCTTCCACTTTAGCTAAAGGAAAGAAAGGATGTATTCAATAATTTTTCATAATCAAGTATTTGGCTTACCTAAATAATTATTGGGCTTAAATTGAACGACAGTTTTTACCAGGAATTCATCGATTTCTATGTTAGTCTTTGAGTCAAGCGCTGAATCTTTAAATATGCTACCCACATCAGTTTTAGCCAACGCATTTCTAATGTCTTGTTCGAATGCGACCTTGAAAATGGGCAGTATCAAGTTAATATCCCTCGGATCACTTAATTTCTTGTTAGTCTGGGTTTTCAGATTTTTTATAATGTCCTGACAGCTTACACCTTCCCTCGGCAGGAGAATCAGCATGCCGATGTCTGTGGCTGAGAATGGAATGAATATACCCGTGGCCTCGTCTGTGGCCATTGTTCTAAGGGAATACAAAGAGTGCATCATGGGCACACATAGTGGCATATTCGGATATTCTGGGCCATATTTTTTGACAAAGTATCTATTAAGCAGAGATTTAAAAGGAGGTCTCCAAAGTGGAGTAACTAATGTTCCACTGATGGCCGCTATTTTGTTACTGAGTTTACTGTTATTCTTCTGGAGTTCAACAAAGGCGGCTCGTATAGGATCCACTTTTTCAGCCAACCAACTATTCAAATCTTTAGAGACTTTGATATCCTTGTCTACATCACTCCTTTTAGCACTTCTCATTAGCAAATCAGATATTATACTTAACTTCTTTGCGAGAGGTTGATCCTGGGGCACGACCACTTTACTAGCCATCACGAATGTGGCTGTAGAGGCATTTTTGTATTTTAAGCCCCATTCCAGTAATTTATTCGTTTCTTCGGGGCCTCCTAGTCCTGTTTTAAAGTTTCTCTCTAATACGGTATTATTTTCAATAGCTTTGCTGGCGTAGATCTCATATAGAATTAGTTCAATATTAAAAACGGATAGTACGTAGTTTTCTTTTGTTTGTCCATCGATTTCTTTTAACAGATCGTAGGGAAATTTTTGTTGCACAGAATTTTTAAGGAGAAGCAAAATGCTTAGCACTGGGAGAGTTAGTTTAAGGCTCGTCATTTTCGAGAAACTACGTTTTTTTTCAAGGGTTCTAATATTTAAAAGAACGGAAAACGATAGGGGTAAAATTTCAATTAACATAGATTGTATTTCCTAGGGAAATGTGCTTTGGACACCAATTGCATTTAACAAGGTTTAATGCCTCTAAATCGATAACTATATTGCTTTAATATCCATTAAGGTGAAAATGAAAGCACTTCTAATGGATTTCAGGGATTTTCAGGGAAATGTCTCAAAAGGGATATGCTTTTGAACTTATGAACCTAATGGATTTCCGGGATTTAATATTGTGTAAGTAAAACCAGCGAGTAAACATAATCTAACCACAAAAGATTGTTAAAATATTTCAAGAGCCTGAAATCATACCCAAAGTGAAAATATGATAGCTCAGTCAGTGTTTGGTTTTAATTAAATTCTCGTGTTAGGCTTGGGTGGCTCCAGTTGCACCATTAGGCGTTGGTAGCTCTAAATCTTAGACACGCACTTCCATTCACAGCCTGCATGTGCTATCCACCCACCGCCCAATCCACTAATATGATAATAGCCTTGTGCGTCACTTGCATCCTGGCACATTGCAATCCGCCTCCACATTTTACCGCCTGCGTGGGCGTCTCTTCAGTCTGCCAGTTGTCTGACTTCCTTCTCCATGGACAATATGGTTGCTGCCTGGTGGTGGGTGCCTTGCGGTTTTCTGATTTATAACACTGTTTACACGCCCTGCCAAAAAGTTTGATTTACTGGCCATTGGACTGGCGGCCACGTGTGCTCATTCGTTAGCCATAACTCATACGACACGTTGCCGGTTTCTACTGAGCCAAAGGACTCACGCATGCGCAGTTGGAATTTCATAAGCTTGATGGTTATGCTAATAGATAGTTTAATCTATATGTACTTATTATTAAATTTATACGTGCATTTCTGCGTTTTCTCCAATGGTAATTTGTATGTTTTTACTAAATTAGTTATGACCAATTATTATAATTTCATTAACAACCATTTCCAAAACCGTGTATTAAAATTTAACGTGTTCTACTACATCGATTTCTTGTTAGATTCAATGTTAGAGGTAAAACTTAAGTTCAACCGTGTTAAATATACAAAGTTATACAAAAATGTTATAATACTTTTTCACTCAACCTCCACAACTTCCGTCATAATTTGTGTGATGCCCTTAGGCTTGGAATTGCCAAAAATTAGTTGAAACATATACGATCCAGTAGGAAAGGGAGTCTTCTCCAGCATTTGATCATTTAAGACCATCTTCGAGAAAATTATGTCATGCTGAGAGTTGAAAATACATTCAGAACTTACATTAAAAGATATTAAAACATAGACCAGAATACCCACATCGTAGGGACAGCTGTGATTCAAATTGGTAAAGTTGAACATGGCGCTGTGTACTATGCTAAACCAGGGAGATCTTTTCGGATGTCGGATGAACTCACAGAAATCCACAGTGACATTGTACATGAAAGGCCTATATCCACTGAACTTTCTAAACATGCTAAAATTTATCTGAAATATCAATAGTATAAGCTAATCTCTTTGCATTAAAATGTTAAGTGCTTCTACCTGTAAATTCTTTAGTGGTAGCTGATGCATCTTGACGTAAATAAATATTCCAACTTTTCCACGACCCAAAACCTTCAGTTCACACTGGGAAAAGTCGCAGTAACTCCTATCATAACACTCGCACTTTATATTAGTAACTTTAAAATGAGAGTCTGAGTTGGTAATTAAATTGAAGGCAATCAATATGATGACCGTGTTTCTCAGCATTCTGAATATTGCCTTTATAGTTACTCTTTGAAACTAAAAAATTTGAAACACTAAACACGGCATTAGGGCAGTTCTGTGGTTAAGTAATTAGGGGTTAATTTAACGCATAAATGATTATTTAATTATTGTTGATATCATAATTATAGAAAACAAAATGGGTCTAGCTAAGTGATCAGGCTAGGAGGTACCCTTTAAGCTGTTCATTAATTTTAAAACAATAATGTTAAGAGTATAACTAGTATAATTTTACTAGCGCCATCTATTTCTGAAAACATGCATTAGGGGTCAGTGATTGATAATCTCTTAATTTTTCATAACTTCTTAAATTATGTGTGCTAGGTCGATAAGTATACTAAAATATACACTTTTCCGATTATATATTAATATTATACATAATAAATATATTAGTGTTCATGACTTTTGGGATTTGTTGGCGTGTCGCTGCTCCGAAATCCTTAGAATCTGCTTTTTTATTCCCACCTCTCCAGGTTTGAAAGTTTATTAAGAAATTAAATACTATTCCTTCTTTCTGAATCATAGTTGTCTCCTAATAAAATATACCCCTTCACTCATTTAGATAATGGATATATACACGCCATTTATATACACATTATATTTATAATTTTTGCCTTCTCTATTTTAAATTGCTGCTATTACTATGGTTATGACAGCATAAAAACCATACAGCAATAATTTTCTGGGCTTTGTGTTAATTATCAAATGAAATACAATTTAACTGTGTTTACAGCAATAATAATTGGTATGCACTCATGCGGCGGCGTTCTTAAAGTTTCTTAACGCTATCCATCCTCTAATTAACTGTGAAACTATATTTATCTCGAAATTATCAAAGCTATGCCGATTCTTTTCCCTCCGATTACCCATGCATTTCCTATATGACTAACTGTTCACGCTGCATCCGCGATGATGATGATGAAGTTGATGCTTGATTAGCTGGACAGACCCGATCCTCCTTCTCCAGGTGCTCCTCCCAATTGTTTCCACCTCTCCGCCTGCATGAGTGCATGTTCATTTTAGCCCGGCCCGCAGGCGGCCACCTCACACATTCGCCCATCACACGCCTTTTGATGTTGCGCCGCCATCTCGGCCGAGACTCGAATCTCCCCGGACAGTTCAGCCACGTCGAAAGCCACCCGTGCGAAAAAGTGAACTAAAACATCGTGGAAAGACTCCACAAGTCGAAGTTTAAATATACACTAAAAGTGTTAAGCTGGAATTACGTCATGAATTTAGTTATAGTTAAACAAACTTATTCTTTTACTCTAAAAGGTTTTATTAAATAAGCAGCCACGTGTAGAAGAAGAAATATGAGAATATTTTGAGAAATTATAGTCTGACACAATAGTCTGACATAGGCAATAGTCGACATTGGCAAACTCACACTTCGTTTTTCTAATGATGAAAAAGACTATGTTATTTAACCTAAAATGAGTTTAACATGATTAAAATACTAACTACTTTCATAATTTAAAACCCATAGTGACATAATTTTAGAAATCAATATAAACAATACCTCGGGATAGTGTATATAAAGATATAAACCGACAACAACAGCAAAACGGTGCTGTCGGATCGCCGCTCTTATCAACTTGTCCAAAAGCTCTTGCGCTCGTTCAAATCAATTTGAAGCGCTTGGCATCGGCATCTCCTGCAACTTCAAACCGGGCCTTACCAGTGCTGCCATTTTGACCTTTTTCTGGCTAGGTGTTTTCTGATTCGAATTGTCATTTTCAAAAATGATGTTAAATATCCCTCAATACAAAATATATTTCTATTTTAGGAATATTCTTTGGAAAACAAATGTCTTGACACGCAATAAGATATATTGATCTTTACATTGCAGTAATTCAAGAAATTTCAATAAAAGTTTCTACAAATCATTCTCACAACCAAGAATCGTTACCATTAAGTGAGGAATTTTTTAAAAATATATATAAAATATTGCAATTATTTTACAGGAACATAATTTTATATCATTGTAAATATATTAAATTTAATTTTGTATTAACGCGATTAAGCTGATTATAACCACCACTGGAAACCACACACATCGGGATTCTGCGCATGCGCGGCAGATTCGATGGTGGGCCGCTGTCGGCCAACTGACACATAGAGGGCGATAATGCCGCCCCTCTGCCCAGCAGCTCTTTCAGTTCATTTTTGCTTTCCGCTTTTTGGCCAGCTGTTGTCGGCTTTTTGCCGGTCTGTTGCTTCGACTTTGTTCTTTGCCGGCAGCGTTTAATGGTTGATTTTGCTCAGTCGATTTTCGATTTTTTTTTGCGCCGCATTTCGGTGTTTTGTTTTGTAGTTTGCGGTGGTTTTTTCTGCCTTTTTATTAAATTATTATTTACTTTTATTACAAAGCGCGACGGCGGCATGGCAAATTGATGCGATATTTCAATTTGCGACGGCCACAAAGCCAACGATTGTGTGTATGGAAATAAATATATCAATGGGGCCGCTGCTGCGCCTACACTTGAACTTCAAAGCGCTTTCCCAACCCTTTTGCTAATAAAATTTCTTAGCTACCAAAAATAAAACTTACTCACACCGTGTCGGACCCATGGAAATGCTCGACTTCAAAGCGAATTCGATGGCGCTGGCCGGAGGGGGGAGTCTCTCTCGCATAAACAAAAGCCAATTGAAATGCTTCTAAAAGAGATTTTGCTTTTTGTATATTTGCTGCTACTTAAGTTGGTAGCCCCTTTCACCCTCTCTCCTTCCTTCCGCACCCCATCCTGACGATTTGTTTTGCCCGTCACTTTTTAATTGTTGTCAACCCACACACAACAGAACAAGAGCGGTAAAGCTAAGCAAAAACAGAGGGTACACTGAGGAAAAAGGAGACATGAATACGAAACAAAGTAATTGTTAAAACTTAAAATAGGGATGTGTTGTTTTAACTTTGGACACCTTTCTTTCTTCATAAAATAAATATAAAATGTGTGATAATGGGTTCACCTTGTTCAATTGCTCTTTTTTCGAATCGATTTCACTTATTAAAAGAAATTGTTTGTCGATCATCATTAAAAAGACATTTTAAACAGTTAATTATTTATTAAATTTAATAAGTAAATACAAAAATTTAATAGAAATGTATTTAAATTCACATTTTTCTGAGAATCAGAAAGCAAGAAATAATTTTAATTTTACATATTCTAAAAATATTGTAAAATTTGATTATCAATAATTGATAAAATATGAACTACATTTTTACATTATTTTTAAGAATTTTTATTAACTTATAATGATCCTTAGATATGAAGTGTTTTTTCTTGCCGTGCAAAGATGGAGCATTGGACATGGAGAAGGCCGCACCCAAGTCGGGCACATGAAAAAGACATCAAAGCAAATCTTGACAAGCGTATATGCCTCTTATCTGCATCGAGCCAAGCGGTGGAAGCGAGAGTGAGAGGGGAGTGAAACAAGGACAGGAATAGAGCCAGGACAGTACTGAGGAGCGATGCAAAAGGAACACATATAATCACTCGAACAGCCACAGGAAGTGCCTTCCGCTCTCTGCTCTGTTTCTGGTCTACTCCTTATGGGATACATTTCCTGCTGTGCCACGCCCCCTTGCCGCCCCTTAACGCAGACAAACACCCACACATGCACATACAACTTTTAACCGTGTTCGAATGCATTTTAAAGTTGGCAACAAAAGCAACAACGGTCATAACCGTGACAGCCACAATAAAGTTATGCCAAAAAATAGTCAGGCGAAGTCTGGGACAGGGTTTTTGGTCAACAAAATTGGACTTTTGGTACTCAAATAAGGGACACAAGGAGACTCGTTGGGAAAAGTTTTGGAATTTGGCAAACACTCTTGTTTCTGGACGGTTGGGGAGTAATAAAAGTCACTAACTGAGTGCATCTATGTGTTTTAATTATACATTTAGTAACAGTAAGTTGCACGGCCTCAGGACTCTTTTATCTTTAATCAACATTGTATTATTATGGGATCTCGGATGTATTAATTATTATTTAATTGCGGTTTTTCTTAAGCAGTGACATGATTTCAATTGCTTGAAAGTAAGTTTAAATGAAAGTTAAACTAGGAAACCACTTTTATATATTTAAACTTAAGTTCCTGCTTTAAAATAGTCTATCTAATATACAAAAATTTTATTATTTTAGGAAAACAGCACACATTTTTGTGACTTGTGAAGTTTTCTCATGAAGTTTTTATGATGCAAGTTCTGTAATTTCTGCAACTCATAAATTTTCTGATAAATGTATTATACATTTTCTCAAATTTATATTATATAATGTACAACGATTTATGAAATGCACTTAAAGTAAGTAACAAGGCAAGTGATAAAGTAAATTTATATTCATCAGAGAGAAGTATTAAATTCTTGAATGCTGATAAACTTAAAACTAATCTTAAGTCTTGGAAAGCATTACCCATTTCATCTGGTATTTCCAGAATTTATTCTTCCCAGAACATTAGAACCAGAATAAACAATGATTTTCTCTTTGTAATCCGAATTAAAGGCTTTAGAAATGGTTAAACTGAAAATTTATAGAAAGTCCTTTTTAGTAACATCAACATGCTGTTTCAGTACTCTTAATTAACATTTGAGAATTATTTCACTTTTAGTATTCTGATATTTGTGGTCTTTGATCCAGCTCATAAAACTGACAACAGTCTTCCCTTTCCTAACTTGGCAATCAGGACTCCCATCCTCTACTCTCGTTCGATTCATCCTGTCCATATAGCGCTACTTACTTATTCCGATGTTGTTTTTCCTTGCTGCTGCAACAGCTGCCACATTTTGTTTCTTTTTCTTCCGCTGCTGTTGACGTTTATGCAAATTGTGTTGTTATTTTTTGTGTGTCACCAAAAAATAAAAAACAACAGCAAAAAAAAACAGAGAAATCTGAAAAAGCCTCCGAGTCGGACCTGTCGACTCCTCCAATCGATAAATGCAAATTTGTGCAAACGAAACCTGGAGCTCTTCGCTCCTCTCGCTTGGAGAACTGTGTTATCCTTTGCCAGGATTTGCCTCTCATTTAATTTAATTTGTGAATTATGAATTTTAAATTGAAGACTGCAGCAGTGGACTTTGAGGACATCTAAATCATTCGGCCACTGCTCCATTTACATCCCAACAAACTTCGTCCTGTCCTGGTTGCGTAACTCGAAAGTAATTAAATTGAAACAGAGTGCAAAATGCACACAAAAGCCGGAAACTTCATGAGAGGGCCGGCTGAAGAGAATGACATATGTTCGAGCTGTGGAAGCACTACAGAAAAATGTTTTAACAGCTATTCATTTACTTATCAAGATATAGAACATTAAAGGAATATAACTATATAACTCTCATATTTTATAACTTTAAAATTAAAAATACTGGGTTTAACTTATATTAAAGACTTAGGAATATATTTAGATCATTAGATAAGATTTTTATGATAGTTTTACAAATGTTTTAAATACCATATATCCATGGCTTTTTAAGAGGTTCGATATAAATCTGATTATTTGAATTTTCAAACTGTATTAACTTCTCAAAATTAAAAAATTATTTATGGAATTAAAAGGATTATAAATGATGATTCTTACATTATTTATCTTTTTGCATACTCTGATCGAGTAAAAATAAATAAATCTAAAAGCTGATTGGCGACCTAAGAAAGAAATTTTTAATTAACAACAAATTTTCTAATAAATATCGCTTATTCATTGCAAAACATAGTTAATTAAACCTCTAAAAATGCCATCAAATCAAACTTTGAACACAGAACTTTATGTTTTCCAATAGAACGTTTCCCCAAGTGCATTGCGTGGGATTTGGCATGGCAAGAGTCAAGTGTGTTCCCAACAAAAGTGTTGAAAATACCGAAGGGGGAAGGGCAATGAAGCGAGCAAAGCAACTGGCAGCATGTTGGCAGCACATACGCCTCCTCACCCCGCACTCCCTTTGGGGCCAGTGCAAAGTTATAGTTATGATGATTGTTGATTTAGAGTTTTTAGTTTTTAGTTTGCCAGATGGGCCAAGGAGGGATTTGTGTAGCATGCCATTAATTTTGTAGCCCCGACTTCAAAGGAGCTGAAAGGAGCCGCCCGTGGACAGATGATGACAACAACTCGGCAGCTCGGCAGCTCTGTCAATTGGGGGCCTTTGATGCCATGTCTTCCCAATGGATCCCCGATCCCCATGGGACAACTGACAGCAGCGCTAATGGGAGACGCTGGTGCCGAGATGCGGGCAGGGGAAGCCCCACCACCACTGCCGGCCAAAACCAATTCGAACTTTTTCTGTTCCCATGGCCGTAACCCGAGACCACGGAATGTCAAATTCTTTCCCCGGTGCACTGTGAAAAAAATGGTTCAAATTCAAAGTGATCTCAAAATAAATTACAAAATGTAACTTTGGTGCCAATTACATAAAAGTAACTTTAATCCTAGTGGTACTGTTACTAAGAGACTCTCGTTCGAGATGCTTTGAAAAAAATCTAAAAAAGGACCTTAACTTTACTATTGAGCAGAGGTTTCACAAATAAGAAGAACTCGGCTTTTGATTCTCCTTTTCTTCTTGCAATGTATAGCTTACTTTCTTAGTGTGTACACCCCGTTCCATGTGCTCATGTTGTGGCCGACTGCACTGGCCGCCTGTCAATGTGAGAAGTCTTCACTTGACTCCGCCGCTCTTCTTGCGGTTGACATTCGCGACTGGCGGTCTGCCTATGGCATCCCCTACAGTTGGCCCCCTTGCTTGCGCTTTCCCCAGTCTTCTGTCCCTCTGACAAGTGTGGCTTTGACGGGACACCAAATCGGACTGTCGGTTTACAAAGCTGACAGCCACCCAGCACACAAGCTGACCGCCATTAAAGGGGCTTGAACTTGGAGTTAGATGAGTGGGTTTTTGTGTTCCAGTTCCGATGTCCTTGATAGTTAAGAGGTTTAATTTAACATAGTAAACTAATAAGACATTAGAGAGAATTAAAGCGATTTAAGAGGTGGTTTATAATCGTAAAAAAGAAGTCAAAGCTAGATAAGACCTATCTTATTTTTTATTTGATCAATATATCAAAGTGTTCTTTAATTAATACAAAGTAGAGTAGAGAATTATCAGATATAGCATACAAATACTAACAAAATAATTACCTTCAGGATTTCTCAAGGAATTCCTATTTGCAAAATCTTAATTTGATATCCATCCACCACCACATGACTAGGGCTGCCCTTTAAAATCTCCATTCAGATCATGCTCCATCCACTCCAGAATTAGCTGCTTCCCAGGAGCCTTTAGGTGTATTCTTAATACTTTGGAATGAGGAGTTATACCATGCCACATTATGAATACCATAGCGTCGTGACACTTGTGGTTTACATATCGAATTTCCAATGTCTAACCAAAAATATGCGCATAACAGGGGAAACCGAAGCCTGTGGGTATTTTCCTCTCAGGGTTCTTCAGTAGCTTACCCTCGGCATATGTGCATTAATACAAATATGGTTTTATTAACAGGCAGCCAGAGGAGGAAGCCAAGTAGAAAAGTGCCACCCACTGGGCTCACACATCTCGTCCTCCTCCGAAATTTCCACTCACCTGCTTTCGCTTTCCCTTTGTCTACGTGTGCGGACTGATGAATGCAAACAGGTGACTTTGCTGCAACAACTGGCACCCTGGCATCCTGCCATCCTTTGCGGAGAATCCGCTGTCGCATCCACATCCGCGGCACATCCTCAGAGACACTTGAGCCGCACTCGGCTTAAATGAAGTGCACACGCCGCCGTGCACATCAAAGCATGCCGGCATTAGCCTGATGCAGTCAACTAATTAGACACGCCCCTTGCCCCCGAGATGCCATATTAAACCATAATTAACGCTAGCTGTTCTATGGCTACAGAAAGAATTTTGAATTTTCCATTAAACGAGGAGAGTTCAAACAAAGATGTGAATCATTTTTTAATTAGAAATGGATTAACAGTGGAAATCAAATTGAAATTAAAGAAGACAAAAGGGGTTAAGTGTGGTCCCCTTTAAGTTCATTCAAATTCAAATACAAATCAAAGTTAAATCGGGAGATTATTTTATATTTTATTTAACAATTCATACATGGCTTTATAAAATATTCTTAATCTAAAGTAAGTAAAGTAAAACAAACTAAACCGAATTGAAAACTGCAAAGAGTTTCCGCATTGTAAAAAATGTAAATCCATCATTAATTTACCATAAAAATTGTGGGCTAGCACAGTTTTCCACTGTTTAGATGCCTTTTTGAGCTGAACCCTTGCAGTTTAACCGCACTTATTGTTTCGTTTAAGCCTAACTCTGTCTTTTAAAGGGTATACGAAAGGATTTGCCAGTCTTTGAATTGAAATATTAATTGAAAAGCATAGTGTTAAAAATAGCTCCGACATTAATATCAGATAAATAAAATAATTTCAAATGCCTAATATATGGTTATACTTGGTCGGTATAAATATCCTCTGTTTAAAGTTCGAACTTTCGTTCACATACAGTAAAAGTATTCAAAATATGTACAATTTATATCTTTTAAAACTTATCCAAATATAAAACCACAATTATTAACAAAAAATCACACTTACCACTAGACGACATATATGGATATAGGTATGGTTTAGGGTGGGTCGGTTTTTGTGACACGAAATTTAGGATCAGAATGTACTCTTTGGACAATACAAAATTTGGTAGTTGTTTTTTTAAACAAAACTGATTTACATTTTTTTGACATTGAAATATAATTGAAAATGAACTATATGTAGTACAAGCTTAAAATGTAAGCTATATATTGACTGAAATCCAAAAAGTAGATTGTCCAATGGTTACTTTCTCACCCGAAGCCCCGTTTCTCAACTTTGAATTAGGCCAAGGCCAGATTAAGAACTGCTTCATTTTATGCAATTAAACAGTTTTAAAACAAAACCTCGAATTAAGCTAAGAAAAGGGGAAAAAAAATCCTTTCTATTCGACCCACCAAAAGTTTTATGTTCCGTTGGGAGATATATCGTTATGAGAACTTTAGCTCTGTGTTGTCTTCCTGTGATGTCTTTCGATCGCCTGAGTATATCCGCTGCTGATTCACATACAGCTGCAATGGCGGCACCTGGCCGAGCAGCTGAATCGGTGGCGGTGGAGTCAGGTCCAATGGCGTAGTAGATGCCGTTGATGGACTTGTTGGCGTGGTGGAACTCATGCTCGAGGAACTAGACCGAGCAGATAAAGATTGAGCTGATCTTGTCCTCCTGAGAGACTCGGTTCCCTTGGGAGGTTTACAGCTCCCTTGCTCACCATAGCTATGAACTCTTCCAACTACTTTCAGATTAGTTCTATAGGGTGGCTGATCCTGTGCCGCTTGAATATGATAGGACTTCCTTAGTATAATGCAAATGGCCAGGAAGGGAATGGTTAAAATTCCACAAAAGCCCAAGGTTATTATAACCAGTACATCCACACCTTCTGCTCTCCAAAAGTTCAAAGTATTGGCATGGGACTTAAGGAAATCAGCTCCTCCGGATTCCAATATACACTGAATCTTTCGCACTGCTTTTCCAGCTGGCGAGGAATCCTTGCCAATCAGCCGATCCTTAAGCTGACGTAATTTCTCCACATAGCTGGTATTTAGGGTGAGCTGTCTTATCCCATGAAGCAGGGAGTCATATGCTATTGAGTCGTAGCCAACGGTCAGGGAGACTCCGTGCAGCTGCAACCGCTTGGCCATCACCTCCTGTTCGGCCAATATGGGTATGGCAAGTATGGGCTTTTGGCCACTTATTGATTCCCAGACACTCAACTGCCCGCAGCTGCTGATGAACATCTTGACCTGCGGATGATGCAGGATTGCTTGCTGTGGCCACCATTCAGCGATCATAACGTTCTCGGGCAATTCTTGTTCCATTGTAAATTCCTCCTTTTCCCATTTTAACAGGAAGTGGAACTCCTTGAGATGACTAAAAACATCGATGATGATGGACAACTTTTCCTGAGGCAGCTGAGCTGTTTGCACATCGGCTCCCAGGCTAACATAGATAACCCCACTAGGAGCGGCTTCAATAAAGACCAAGAGATGCTAGAATAATAATAAACATTAATTATGAGTAACAGTTCAGTCAAATTTAACTTACCTTTGGCAAATGGAGTACATTTGAATGACTCAAATGCAGACCGCCCACTTCCACCATATTTGGCAAATACGCTCGAGGATAGTGTAAACCAGGATGAGAGTTGATCAAGGCCAAACTTAGATTCTTTGTCAGATCTTTGTAGAGCGGTAGTTCCTTAACAAGCAGTTCAAAGTGATTGGTGTACACTGATTGCTGGGAGATCAGGTGGAAAAAGCTGCGGAAATAGTCGAAAATTAATGAGCATCTGTAAGTTATTGGTAAAGAACTTCTATAACTCAATAAGTTTAAATTAGACAAAGTTTGACTTTTAGTTTACTTTTACAAATTAAACGATTGTTTCATATAATTTATCCATAATTGAAGACAAACTGACAGGAATCCTTGGTATTTCAAATATTTTTTTTAGATATTAACTACATTTACTGATTTATAGAAGTGTCATTGAAATTAATTCCTACTTGTAGGTCAACCGCTCAAAGGTGCTCATCAATGAGTTTAGAATCCTTTGCCTCGTGTTCATCCTTTCGGTGAAAGGCAGGAAATTACTGGGATCCAGGGATGATGATTGGGGATTGCCAAACATGTTATTGAGCCAGGAGTTGGCGCCGGTGGGACTGATTGCAACGGTGGGTATGCCATAATAGAATGCCAAGCTATAAGAGTATAATTTTTTAAACCAAAAACTTAAGACCAATAGAACAACTCACCCTAGAAGAGCATCGCTTAGAAACAGATCAGCTATAAGTAAGTCAAACTTTTCACCACTTGTTAGGAGCTTTCGCACTTGGGGATCGGATAATAGGATATCCACGTTGGTGGTGCCTGCGTAGATCAGCCGGGTAAACCTCTCCATTACACTTTGCGATCGCATTTCCTCGGCCTCGAAACTCATGCCCATATCAAGCCAATTTTCCCTGAGACCCTCGATTCGCAATTCCCTGATCCTAGACGTGTTCACATTTTCCAGCTGGGCATGAGGACTTATCAAAGTCACGTAGTGGTTTCCTGGACTTTGAACTAATTCCTGCAGTAATCGCCGGCCAAAAAGATAATGCGATTTCCAGACACTGGGAAAAACTGCCAGGATATTGGCTCCCGAAACGACGCCACAGACCAGCGTTGCCAATAACACTTGCAGGATTTGCATTTTGTGTTTGGGGATAATATCCGCAGTGGCTACTACATCCGCATCTGCACTCACATCCGCATTCGTGTATGTGTTTTTGCTTTTCCGGTTTTTTTGTTGCAAAAAACACACAAACACAGACGCACAAGACAGACACACACGTACACAATATGAGCCTCTGCTGGGCTTCTATTATTATCTGTTGCTTCTGCTTTTGGGCTCTGCGCCGATATTCATCATCTTGCTACCACAAGTCGATGGCACAATATCACAGCTGTTGAACAAACACTTAAATTGCCAAATTAAATACAGAGCAAAACGCAACGAAAGTGAAAAGAACAGCACCAACAACAGTGCGCCTCTGTCGGCGTTCTGTGGGAATAGCGTTCAGCGATGGCTGGTTAGCTATTCCAGTCAGTCAAACGTCAGAGATCCCGGTATAGGTTTTTAAGCTAAAATTGATAATGTTTGTGCGAGCTAAGTTTTATTTACATTTTCTAAGCTTAAAATTCAAAAACCTAAAAATAAATCATTTAATCTACAAATTCAAATCTTTACAATTTGGTTATGTGTTGTATTTTTACTTCCACCTTTAAATGTCATTAATATACTAAATATTCGCTATGTTTCTAGCTGTGTACATTGAACTGCTTGTTCGTAAACATCTTCTGCCAGCACTGTCGACTGCTTGCCTTTGGTATAGCTTGGTCGCCCGCAGACGGTCACACCACCTAGTCAACTACCCCCTCCACTTCTTCTTCTTCGGCTGTAAACAATTTCAAATTTGCATTATTCGCGATTTCGGTGGCAATCATCCGCTAAATTGCTCTACAAAAGAACGGCTAAATTGAGTAATTGCGGTGTGTACAAGTACAAGCGGATGAACAAGAACTACAAAATAAAACAACGTGCGGCAAACAACATTTTTTGCGTTTTTGGAAGAGTGCCAAAAAACGGCAAGAAAATAAAAAGTGAACATTTGAACCGCATTACGAGGCAGAAAAAGTGAAACGAACAGCTGGTGGATCAGGTGCGTGCTCGAAACTGTATCATTTGGCTTTAATTCGGCCCTAAGTAAACACCTTAAGTGAAAATCTGGCCAAAAGCACAAGCAGCAACAACAAGGTGCAATAAACCGGCAACAGCTGAAACTTACTGCTTACGTAAGCCATCGCATTTACAAGCAGTTAGGCAAGTCGATCAACAGCCGAAATGGCGCAGGTATCAAGTAAGAATCAAATGAAACCAAATCTTGTTGGGGGCTAACTCAGAAATCCATATAATCAAGGTCTAGACGTGAAGGGCACATAAAAATGGCATAAAAAAATGTTCTAATTTTAACAATCTATAATTATACCTTAACTTTTAATAAATGCTTTCTAAAAACTTGTATTATGTTAAGAGAATCATCATGCCTTGAAGGAACATTACTTTATCGAAATAAAGTATCTATCTTCTAATTCTGTTAAATATGGCGTTAAATAGTACAGCTAAAGCGACACAATTCGATACTTAAGTCATTACATATATTATTTAGTATAGCAACAATTAGAAGAGAGTTAGAGTTATTAACCTTTTAATCCTCTTAATTAGGTTTTGGTAGGAGACTAAAAGTATATAAAATTTGAGGAAGAGCTCAAATTTAAATTTTTTAATTATGCAAAATAGTTGCCTACTTTTAAGAGAACATAAAACTATTATATTTACCTTGCCTTGGATTTCTGTGAGCTCCCAAAGATATTTTTGTTGTGCATTAAATCACTTAAAAACCTAATCTCTTCTTAGCGCATATCGATGTGGACAAGCCCCTTTTCGACCTCAGCACCTTTGCTGGGCGCTTCCAGTACTTCGCCTGGATGACGGATCCCCGAACCGTAATCCTATCCAGCGATCGTCTACTGCAAGCCAAAACCATGGTGGAACGCTACCGAAAAGGTGATCAATCGCCGCAGGTGAAACCGGAGGAAGTGCATTATAACATGAAGCTATATAGTTCCGCATTTCATCCGGATTCTGGGGAACTGCAGAACTTTTGCGGCCGCATGAGTTTTCAGGCAAGTCTCGTGATGGGTTTCGCACGTGGGTGCTGAAAATAGAACCGTCTGACAGAGTCGATTGTGAATGGTTTGCCAAAAATACAAGTGAAGGCATGAAATCAAGACTAGACAGCATCGACTTTGAAATCTTGAATATATGCATGAGAAAATCGGTTGAATATTTAAACGGTAACTTTATGAATTTTCATGCTTTAATTATTGTTATGTAAATATGTAAATTATATATGTATAAATGTATAAAAATTTTGAAGATATTTTAGGTTTTTCTGAGTTCTATTCTGAGTGTTATTTATCTTTTTAATAACTTCTTCTAATCTGTAGAAACCTTGACAGATGTGATTATGAAACCTTTAAGTATGACAGGTTTATAGCTTTGCCTCAAGGGTTTATATAATGGCTTTTTTGATATTCTGTTTGTTGACTAGTCTAACTAATTGTTTGGTGTTCTTCTTCGCCTCTTTAGGTGCCCGGTGGCATGCTGATCACCGGTGGCATGTTGGCCTTCTATCGGACGGTGCCCGCCGTGGTGCTCTGGCAGTTCATCAATCAGTCCTTCAACGCGGTGGTCAACTACACGAATCGCAATGCCAATTCACCTACTAGTGTTACGCAGCTGGGAGTGGCATATGTATCCGCCACATCATCAGCTCTGATAGCCGCCATTGGATGCAAGAACTATTGGTCGAAGAAAGCGAGTCCTCTGTTCCAAAGATTTGTGCCATTTGCAGCTGTGGCGGCGGCTAATTTTGTCAACATCCCATTGATGAGACAAAATGAGATACTCAATGGCATCGAGGTGAAGAACGAAGAAGGAGAGATTGTGGGACAGAGTAGATTGGCTGCCATCAAGGGAATAGGTGAAGTGGTCGTCTCCAGGATAGCGATGGCGGCGCCTGGAATGCTGGTGCTGCCCCTGATAATGGAGAGGCTGGAAAAACTGCCTGCTTACAGGCGCATCAAGTGGATAAACGCTCCATTCCAGACCCTGATGGTTGGCTGTTTGTAAGTAGCTTACACTTTACATACCATTTCTTGAAGGTAATACATTATATTCTCCATTTCAGCTTATGTTTCATGGTCCCTACTGCCTGTGCCCTGTTTCCGCAACAGTGTTCCTTGGATACCTCAACAATGCGCACCTTTGAGCCTGAACTGTACCAGGAAATTGAGAAGAAAACTGCGGGAAATGTTCCCAAACGTGTCTACTTCAACAAGGGCCTGTAAGATCGCCTTGATATTAACTATGGATTTCGAGGAAGACAATAATGTGTTAGTGGTGTCCATTCTCGTCATGTTTTTTGTAGCATTTACTGTATCAGATTGCGCAATATCTTGCAGATGTTCCTTGTCTCGTGTCAATTGTCGTAGTCTAAGCTAAAAAGAATCTCAACTGTATGAATTATTTATATTCAGAACTGCTCCAGTTTTCCTATTTTTAAAGATATTAATGTCTTGTTTTAAAAATTATATCAACTTTTAATTATGACCTCATTACGCTTGATTATGCTCACTTTTTCTGTTGTCCAATGATCAAGGTATATAATTTTGAATGAAGTGAATTTAAGTCTTTAGAGTAAAAACCGTAACTTGAAAGTACTTAATGGGTACCAATGTTAATGTATGACCTTAATAATGTTCAATAGGTTTTATATATCTCAAGATATTCGATAAAGCTTTCATTAGGTGCGATAATTGATAATCTAGATAAATTTAAATAATTCTGAAACTCATTTTTACTAAAATACTTGCCCAAAGATATAACGATATTTTAGTTGAACAATAAAAACACTAATATCAAAACCATCACTGAAAATGCTTTTCTAGAGCCACTAATAGATAATTAACATGTTATGTGTTTCATTTTAGGACTAATGTACTCACTGGTCTGAAATAAATGTTTACCAAATAATACAAGAATTAAAATGGATTTTACGGGTTTTAAAAACGGTTTTATTAGTTATGTTCTTTTATCCTGTATAAGTATATATATATATATATATCATTATATATAACGCTGCGGGGCTGTCGTTTATTAAGATATTCGGTTTTCCTTCTTCGTGTTGTAAAGTTTACAAAATGTGCAAAACACAACTAGGTAGCTATAGAATATTCGTCCTTAAACGTTGACAGAAGTTAACTCTTCCTTATTGTTTGACTATTTATCGATCGGTTTGGTGCTACCGCCATAAATAACTTTTCTTGGACTTTCTCAAGGTACAATTTCGTGTTTCGTTAAATGTAATATTTAAGTTTAAGGTGTTTTTCTTGCTCTTCTTTAATGTTGGCACTGTCGCTTAGGTTTTCTCTATATCTTGGTGCTAAACATTGATGGAAAAATTCAACACTCAGATGTACAATATGTAAAATTGTTTATCTTATGCTAACAAAAACCAAAAACAAAGAAGAATATTAATCTCAGCAATTGGGACCATGCCACGCCCATTTCGGTGGGCATGGGCAACAAATGTGCTGCCCGGCAGCAAATTTCGATTCCATTTCGCATTTTCGCATTCGATTGTAAAAAGTGTGGATCTCATTGTGCCGTTTAAAAAATTGGAATCTGTCACGTGGATCAGCAAACATTTCTTAATACATTTTCCATTATCTTAACTATTAACTGGCAAAACGTTCGAGACATAATTATTTACGGGTTTTCTTGGGACCTTGTTTAATCTTTGCGGTTTTTTTTTAAAAAATGTACCTTATGCCTTTAATAATTGTATTTATTTTTTATTTATTTCATACTGACTGAGGCTTTCAACATTAAATTGGCATTTTAAACGTGTTCAATGCTTAAGTTATTAAGTTCCCAGTTTTTTTGGCGCTTAGCTGGGAAAGCTCGTTCAAAATCGTAGGGTTTTCCTTTGCAAAATCTTAGGAGCTAGAGCAACTAGCTTAGCAAGCTTCCTTTTCAACAGGAACTTCTATCCGTATTTAGCTGCCCATTCAACTTCTGGTTGCTTTACAGTAAAATCTGTTTAAAGTGGACATGACTCTTGTATGGGGAACGTATTTTGATGTTTTTATTTTGGTTTTTTGTTTTATTTTTTTCAAAGCATACTAATATCGCACTCTTGCAACTTAATTCCTGAGCTTTAAAATTTAGAATATTCTGACAACTTGCACTTACCACATCAGCACATCACCCTCCCCGTCTCTATCAAATCGAATCAGTCGAGCTTTGGCTAGTAGCAACTCCTAGCCTTGGGCCAAAGAAAGTTGTTCACCATCGTATAAATCCAACTAACCAATCCGTTCTGGCTTATCAACCTTTGTTTTATATCAAATTCTGTATTAAATCTCTGCTTCCTTTCTACATTTACATATATATTGTTTTTATATTGCGCACAGCCTTATTTTTCCAAAAAAGTTTCTCGGATTATTTTAGTTTTTCTTGTGTAATCGTGTTTTTTTTCTATTACATTTAAACCATTCCTAAGATTTGGTTGGCTTTTCATTTATTTGTTTCTTGAAACGTCACCTGATAAAATTTTGTACCAACTTGGCTGACTGGAAAACAGCTGACACTCAACTTTATTCATATTACATAACAAATTAATCGCTTCGTTTATTTCCTTCTAGCTGTTCTCCAACTTTAACATTTGTAGAAAATAATTTGCCTTCTCCTACTACTGTCTCTAGACAAATTCTCAATCCATTCTAAAATCTTTTAACTTTAATGGTCTTATCCACTGTTTTTCTTTTTAAATTAGTTTTTAGACCACCCTTTAAAAAACCATAAAAAATGTTGCGCTTTTGGCAAGAGTTTTCTCTTTTTTGTGGTTATTTGTGTTGTGCAAATGTTTGTATTTTATTTTCATTGTTTTAGTGTTTTTTGTTTTCTTTTCAATTTTAAAAATTCTTCGATATTCGGGAGTTTAGAGTTTAGTTCACTTTACACTTATATGACTTGGCATTCGGTAATTAAGTGGTAGGTTTATATATTTATATTAGCGGCCTGTCGCTCCGCAACTAACAAAGTTTACATTTATAAACGATTTCGAGTTTTAGTAAAATTTAAAACTAAAAATAAAACTATATGCCTGGAAAAACTGTTTAAAGTTCAATTGTTTATTTCTGTTTCGGCATTTTCTCATATATATATATATATATATATATATATATTCTCTTGACTTGGCTTAGGAGTTAAATACAAACATGTACATTGCGTATATATAAATATATTTTATATATTTTAGTTTTGTAGTTGGTTTGCTTGTGTGGATAACATTGGATTTTGTTTGCTCTTTGCCTTAAAAATGTACTAAACATTAATTTATTTATGCGGTATTAATTAATATATGTACGTTGGGTATCTCCTCAAGACTTTGTACACTTTTTAAAGTTTGAATTAGTACCCCTATTTAATAAGCGGCTCATATGTATGGGTTTTTAGGGCTGTTTTATTTGTGTGTGTGAAAACCAAGTTAGGAAAGGCTTTGACCATTAGGCCGCCTCCTCATCTCCTTCTCCACCGGATTCGATGTTCCCCTCGGCCATTTCCTGATCGCGATGCTGCACCACCTCCACCACGGATACTGCCTCCGCAGTGGTCGTGGTCGATGTGGACGAACTGGTAGTGCTGGCCGGCGACATGTTATCCGGATTGACCGCCAGACAGATGGGCGGCGGCGATGTGGCGACGGCTGCTGCTAGGATCTCCTGACTTGGCGGCAGCACGAAACTCTTACCGCCCAGCTGTTCTCATTTGAGACCCGTGTCCGAGGACGGGGTCCAGCGGTCGAACTCGATGCCAGAGTCAGGCGAAACCCCAGTGGCCTTGGCCAAATGGGCTGCCATAAATCCTCCGGTTTGCATGCATTTACAGTCCGGCGCAATGCAATTGCAAGAGAACTTCGATCCGCGTCCGCAACGCGAGGTGACCACACTGGGCACATCGGACACGGAGCTGGAGGATGCTGGACCCAGTCCCAGACTCACACTAATGCCCATCATTCCGGACTCGTCCATCGCCTGTTCGTCACCGGGACTGAGACGCAGTTGGCTCTCGAAGGACTGCAGCTGCTGCATGAAGTGGAAGTTGGGCGACACATCCGGCTTCCGGTCCCGCACCATCATGAAGGCGTCGTTGAGACTCAGGCCCCGGGTGTGCATCAAGTAGGCGAGCGTCACGGTCACCGAGCGCGAAACCCCGGCCAGGCAGTGGACCAGCACCGCCGAGTTCGCAGACCGCGCTTCCTCTGTAAATTTGGGGGGAAAAACAGAGCATTAGCTATGAATTGACAAAACAGGATGATATCATAGGCCATAAAAACTGCAACTAAGTCAGTTCTTTATCATAGAACTTAAGATAAGATCTACTTCTTTACAAATATGAAAATCCTCACCTATAAACTGAATGGCATCTGGAAAATGCATGGCCAAATCCTGCGAATAATGATCGGTGATCGGAATCTGCAGATACTTGATGATGCCCGACTTCTCAAACTCATTTGGCAAATCTGGTGTCACATTCAGGACATACTAAAACAGGAAAATTAAAGCATTTAGTAATTAATTTAAATGGTTAAAGCGGTAAAGACCCACCTTAATATTGTACTTATGCAATGCATTTGAGTCGCAGCTGTGTGAGGCATTTCCGAGGAACAAAAGTCCCGGAATTATCTCCACGGGCGCCTCATTAAAATTATGATGATGATGGTGATGATGGTGGTGGCCGGTGCTCTCGCAATCCGACGACTCTGCCGAACTGCTGCACGCTGAATCGGAATGCGTTGTGGAAATGCGAAGGGATCTGTGGAAAGAAGACAGAGGTAAGTTTAAATGTCCACAAAAGAGGATTTTATAAGATGTTTTCTTTATGAATGAAATAGTGTTAGGGTTCCCGAACATATCTCAGAAAAAGATATTTCTCGGACATACCCGAGTATAACAAAGATTATTGGATGTCCAGTTTAGATCTGTGGCTGACCTCACCCTCACAAACATTTATTTCAACAGAGATTTCAGTTATCTTCTTTCAAGTTTGTGTTCCTTTTTATGCATGCTCTACTTTGATAATAAAGATGATCGACTTACCTAAGACCCATTAACTGATCGGTCTGTACATTGCGACTAGATTCCATTTCTTTGTTGTGCCCCTGGCTACCATCCTCGCACCATTCCGGAAATGCTTGGCGAAAACTGTTGAAGCCATCTGCAAGTTAGAAGAAAACAGAGAGGGGGAAACTTTAGAATGCTTTTTGAACTAAGCGTTAAAATCCTCCTGCTGGCTCTTTTGGCCAGCATGTCATTTGAGGCCACTGGAATTCGACGTTCGTTATGCTTGGCCAAGTGTAGCTTTTTGGTCTTTCGTCTTTGGTAAGGCAACACCTACTCACACGACATGTTGTTGCTATTAACCCAACCTAAGCCAAGTATGCGTGAAATTCTTGCAAGCGAATCATTCATAAAAAACAAGAGGGAAAGATGGAAAGACTAAGTGAAAAGGGCTGCTCGGCTGCCCGGACGTAATGGAGATCTTCTTTGACTCCAATTGGAAACGGAAGTGCGACTGGCCGTATCAACGGAAATGCTGTTTCTAAATTTAAAAGCTTGAGATTGGTATGGGAATTGTCATCAAAAAAGGCAAACGGCAACGGGCTGCTCATCAGCATAACGCAAAACGGAAGCTTACAATTTTCTACTTGCCGCATATTAAATGCAAAAAAGCAGCAAATTGAATGAAAAACAAAACGGAAGAGTTCACTTATTATCGTTCTATTGGCCCGACAACGGGTGGTATACGCACTCTACTCTACCTCCAACTCAATCTCCACTTTCTGCGGAACTTTAAAAATAGACCAAGATAGAGCCGCATTGAAAAGCAGGAAAAGCGAAAAGGGGGAGGGAGACTATTTTTGCAACGATTACGACGCGGCCATGGCCATGGATATCAATCCCCAGTATGACATAGCAAACTGCATTTGATAGCAATTTCCTCCTCAAACAAACTCTGGCCATCATCATTGGGTTCTGGGTTAGAAATGTCGGAAGAAATCGGGGGAATAAGCTTTTCATTTGTCATGGCTATTTAAAAGTTGTCTAAAATGGTAGCTCGCTGAAGTTTGAGGTATATAATTTAAAGTTTAGATGGTCACCCGGCAGTATTTCATCATTTATCATTGATACTAAAGCCATGAAGAGTGATTTTTGAGTGGACAGTTGCACACCCTATAAGTGCAATTTGAGTTTACACAGATATAAATATATTTGTATTATTATTAATTATTATTATAACCTTAACTACTAACACTTTTCAAACCCTCAATTACAGGTAACTTTCCCTATTGTAAACCCAACTGTCGTATATATTTATATCTGCCCATATGGCGATCGTTTCCCCTTCGTTTTCCACTTGTTCTGCCCTCATATGGGTCATAATCACACACACACACACACATATATGGGTGAGTGCTAGTATCTATATCTTTATAGTTTTTCTTTTTTATATTTTTTTGTCACGTTCTGTGTCACACTTGTGAGTGCTTTTGTGTTTAGATTGTTTCATTGATGAGTTCACACAAAACAAAGACAAAGAAAAGGCAAAATCACAAAAACAAACGCGAATAACAGTGGAAACGACCTTCAAAACGTTGAAAATGTAAACTTGAAAATAAAAAAACGCGTCAACAAATTGCTGAACTGAACAAAGCGTACACTAAATACAAACAAACAAAAAAAGCAGCTTTTGAGTATATTTCATATTTGTTAGAAAACCGGATTTTGGCAGCATCAGCATCAGCACACACACCAGGAATGAAAGCAACCACCAAAGAAGAAACCACCAAACCACCCACTGAACCACCGAACCACTAAGCCAGCAACCCACTTAAATCAGCTCATCAGCCTCGCCCCCACAGAGCTCCAAATTTGTTGATATTATTTATAATTTTTTAAGCTATTTCTATATGAAAAGGTAGACAAATTTTGGGGGTTTAAACGATTTGTTCCGCTCATTCATTGTTTTTTTTTTTTGGAGGGTATTAATATTTTTATTACTTTTTTTGTTCACTTAAAATCAACTCATCCACTTTGCCCCCACACTGCCAAACAAAATATTTAACAAGTTTTTAAACGATTTGTTACGCTTATTCATTGTTTTTCTTTCGGCTAATAATTTAGTATTTATTTTTTATTGTCCCAGTGCCCTCTCTTCAGTTTTGAGCTATTCGGTTATCTGGTTTCCTGTTAAAAAAATTAATATTAAATTTATCTCCCATGAACTTTATAAGTTTGTTTAATTTTATTGATGTTTTAAAGTCAATTTTTGATTCCTGCATAAATCAATAAACGGTTTTTCTGTCAAATACTCAACATAGCACATCAGTTGCTATAAAATAATATTTTCAAACAGCTTAAGTAGTATCCAAGTTAATAAGTTTTTAGAAATATTTGCCCTCTTCATTCATTAGCGTTTCTTATTTGTTTGTTTTTAATTATTGTATGTATAACCTTTTTCTACTATTTTCATTTTGCCAGCTTATCTGGCTGCCTGGCTGGTTTTGTTTATCGCCGTGTGTAAATATAAAAAATAACAACGGCCGCAAAAAAAAGGCAAAACGTGAGTTAAATAACTTTTAGCTCACTTCGCTGGGTTTCAACAGTGCCGCAGATACAACGAGCACTCAGATACGAGCGCGCACACCCACAACCGCAGCGCTATTCATTCACAGGTACCACTTCAGAGCCCCCTCCCGAAACCCCCCTTTCACCCCTTTTTATTTCATTTTATTATTTTTTTTCTTTTTGCTCCCAACGGATATGACGTAGGCGCGTTTCTCTACTTTTTGTCTCTCTATTTTGCCGCATGAAAACAGTTAGAGAAGTGTTTTTAAGAGGGGCAAAGGGAGAGTAGCCCTTGTATGGGTTTGCCATTCTGTGGGCGTTTTTCGAGTGTGTGCCTTGTTTAATTCATTTGCGGTTTCAGATGACGCAGATCCCTTAAGTGGAACACTGGATGCGATGGCGATGGCGATGCAGAGCCCCCGATACGCAACCAGACCCCAAAACCGAATCCATGTCCGAATCCCCAGCGAATCGAGACACGTTCGTCGGTTTTGGTTGGCCCATTGATGGATTCCGCGGAAACCCCAAGCCGGAAGTTGAACACATGCATGCAGCGGAAAACGGCACCCGGCGCACATTTCCATCCCCATATATCTATTTATAAGGCTCTGTTTACGTCGCTTTCGAAAGTTTTCCGTGGAATTTAGAAATGGATTTAAGAATTTTTTAGAGAAAATCAAAGGAAATGCGATGTGCTTGCCTTTGGATGTGGATAACTTTTGGAAGATATTTTCCTTTATTTGAGGTAAAACTTTTTATTTAAAAGAAACTGTAATCTATTATATAATAAACAGGATAAAAGGAAAAAAAATATACCAAAAATATTTCTTTACTAAGTAAAAATAGAGATTAAAATCCTTTTTGGCAGCTAGAATTCACATAAAAGTTGGAATATTTTACTTACTAAAAACAATCAAAGATTTTTTTTAAGTTTTTATACAACTTCAAAGTTAAATATTTAAAAATGATAATAATATAGATATATGCAATGTAATAATCTCGAACTTCATTTCCCAGTCAGAGCAATCTCGAAAATATTCCAAAACACAACACATGTTCCGGAGCTTAAACTGTTTGTATATTTTCCCAGCCTGTTTTCCGGAATCTAAAAGCTATTTAACTTTACATATTTCCCCATTATCTCAAACAGTTCCCGAGCCTAAAAATGCCTTTTTAATCACTCTCGGCGCATAAATTCTTCAGCCGCATTCCCTCCAATGTGGCTCCACTTTTTTTTGTTAGTTTTCAAATTGTTTGTCGTAGGGATTGGGATTGCCAGCCATTAGTCGTGCTGGGTGGAGTTTTTGAGTTGAGGAAATCGATATTACGCATACGCAATGTGTGCGGCGGTGGGTAAATGTTGTTTACTCGCACCCAGGTCGTTCGAATCTGGTGCTTTCTGGTCTGGCAAATGCATTCAGCCGGTCGTTGCACAATGCCAGATATTCAGATACTCGGCTACTATAAATATATAGTACCTATATACCGTTCATATATATTTTCAGGCAAACGCATGTGTGCTGGCTGGGTGGCAGAATGGGGAGTGCTGGCATGAATGAAAAACCAGACCACGAGACAACGCCTGCAGTTCAATGCTATTTGTCAATGAGTCAGTCCCATTTCGATTTCAACTGGAATGAGATATGAGGCATGAGGAATGAGGAACGGACCCGGAGGAACGAGCAACGGGCATCGAGCAACGAGGAAGAGCCGTAAAACACAACGGCAACCATAATGCGAGTCCCATTTGGGGCCCCCATATCCATTAGCCATATGCATATAGAGCATTTAGTATCTTCCATCGATGTGGGCGGGTGCGTGTGTTCTTCCCCCATCCAACGTGGCCCCAATTTTGTTTACATTTTTCCTCTTTCTTCCCAAAAAAAAATTCGAATTTTTTATGTCTTTCACTGAGGAAAAATTTAAGAATCTAGATTATTAGTATTCTATATCTTGCAGTTCTGATTTCTATAATAATAATATCCAGAAGGAATAAAAACTCGTTTTAATCATATCTTAAACAGTGAAAACTGAAGTTTAGGTTTCTCAACTAAACTATTACTTACTCTTTAAATTACGTTGAATTTCTATTTGGAACTTTATCTAATTTCCAAATTTCAAAAATAAAAACATTTTTCTTTGTGTTCCTTGCGCTTATACATGGAGCCGCATTTTTTCCAGCTTGGCATAAACAAAGTGCATAGGAAAAGTTGAAGAAAACATCAAAAAAAAAACTTGAGAAAAATATTAATGTCTGCCACTTCCGCCTGCGTTTATTTCGAAGAAGGAATCGTTGATTTACCAATCATTGCATTTTCCCGCCGACGAGAATAATTTCTTAATCAACTGCCGTTCGTTCGTGTTCCTCTTTTCTTGTTTTAGCCTGAAAGCGTTGACATTTTAACTACTTGTACTCGTGTTAAAGAACGGAAGTTGATTGATTACAACATGATTGATTGATGCGAGGAACGAGAGAGACACGGAAAGCGACTTGCAAATGTCAGACGTCCACGTTTACTTTGGCTGCACTTGGATTGCCCTTGGCCATTTCGTCGGAGGTAAAAAGCGGAAATTACGGCGGCGTTTGCA